GCGGAGTCTTTATAAATAATTTTTTGATAGAATATAAGTATTTTTGTGAGCATGAAATCCCTCCACATTATAAATTAGTAAGTGAGACAATACCACCACAGTATTTATAGCAGCCATGGTACATGGATTTTTAAGCTTCTTGGGTTTTGTTCTCATGCATCTTCCTAGTTTAGGCCTTAGTATCTGGCTTTTCCTTGGCCTGCTGAGATGTCATGCCAAAACTTGTCATTTATTGTCACTCCATGAATAATTAATGGTACCTTGCACTTCTACATCTTGTTTCCTAGCACTGGAGAGTCAAACTTGTCCCACTTAATGGCCCAAGAAATTATTTTTTGGAGTGGTGGTTTCTGAACCTAATGTTTTTATATTCTACTATTTTAAGCACCAGCAAAGATGGAGTGTTCACAGATGACAGTTAGGATAAATGCCCTGCACAGTACCTCCCGCCTTTGAAGACCGGCTGTGTTTTCCTTATTTATATCCTCTGTTTGTATAACATAGGCAAACGCCTGGTCTAATGCCTCCTCCAGGTCTGACAGCTTCATGTCCTGGTCGCTGAGCTGCTCGAGCACGTCGGATACTAGAGATCTCGTGTCATTGTACCTCTCATGAAACTCTTCAACTTGCTGTAGCACTGGGAGAAAAATCAGAGGCCGTTGATTAATCCAAAGCTTGGATTTCTGACAAGACTTACCTGTGCAACAATTCCTGTTGCTGTTACTCAGGGGACAGTAAAACACATTTGTTAAAAGCTCACTTCAGAGATCACATACCTCGATTTTAATTTTCCCTCCTCTTTTGAAAAGGAAAGATGCCTGTCATCTTAGTATCTTGGTTTGATCCCACTAATCCCCCCTCTCACGCAGCTCTTCCTAAAAGAAACTAGGTTTGGCTTTCCTTGCTGTTCATTTGCTTTTCATTGTCACAACTAACCAGGCTATTCAGGAGAAGACAGTCCTTATTGTTCTGGGGCTCTGACTCATGTTCACCAAACTGTGAGAATTAGGCTGCCAGTCTTTCCCACACCAGCAGTCTTTCTCTCTCTGCTGGTGTTTACTGTCCCCATGGCAGAGCTCATAGAGGGAAAGATGTTCACACAAGCTCCAGCCCTGGCATGAATTTCCTAAACAGCTATTACTGAGGTGCAGCAGTGCCCAGGCACACACCCATATGCAGGCACACATATTTTTCTGCCCATTCTGCCATAGGGGCAGCAAGGGCCAGCAAAGACTTGGGGCAGGCATCTGGAAGCAGCAGCATCTTCAGCACACCAGTCAGTGCTTGTCAAATGCCTGCCGGTCCTTCCCAGGGGCTCAGCAGCACATCCAGAGCTGCCCAGCCCATGCCAGCTGCGTATCAATGCGTGACTGAATAGAAAAGAGACTTAAAACTCACGCTCCTCTGCTGCGTTTTCCTCTTCATCTGCACGTTGCCTCTCGTTGGTGAACGGCTTACGGCGTTGGATCTCCTTCAGCATCTCCTCAGCCATGCTCTGCTTTTGGGCAATTTCCTCAGGGCTCAGCTCTTGTTGAACTGCGTAGTATTTCATCTTGCTGCTGATTTCTGTGGGAAGAAGGAACAGATGGTCAATCCAGCATGCCTACAGAGGAGTAAATATTGTGAAGTACTTTTACTTTTGTGAATGCAGACCATGCTGATGGCAAAAGCAATTTCAAATTATCTTCTAAGTCTATAGTAGATATTTATTATGTTTAATCCAGTCTTAAAATTAAACCTGTAAATGAATCACACTTCCTGGCATATGTGGAGGTCTCATCAAAAGAGGATGAGATTAAGTGGGCATGGGTTGTGTGCATTGTTTGGCTTGGCAGTTCTTATAGGCTGGGATCACAATTTTATTCTGAGTATTGTGGCATGTAGCAGGCTGGGGCTTTCATCCAGGATTGTGGGTTTTAAGTGCTGCTGCAAAAATATTATATTTATTAAATACCAAGAACGGCAAGGAGACTAAAGTAACCTCTTTTTCCATATGAAGACATTTGAGGCACCCTAAAGAGGTAACATATGGCTTCTGGCCTGATTCTGCCTAGCTAGTTTGCAGATAGATACTATTTCAAGGTTTTGGTCTCAGTTCAAAAAGCTCTGTTGGATCCCTGCAGCTGAGTTTACCCATCCCCAGTGTAGGCATTACAAAATTTACCCACTTCTCACTCCCTGTCCTCGAATACCAATAACCTCCTCTTTCATACTCTGTGATGATGTGAGTAGCTTTGGCTTGTGTTCATCACCACTTTTGTGGATAACCAGAGCAGGCAAAGCCAGCAGTACGCATCTGTAAGATTTTTATAAGAAATAGATGCATAATTGTGGAATGACTGGTTCTTTGTCAGAATGTCTTTGTATGCAATTTCTTGGTGGCTCCTGAGCTCATCAGTGAAGCTTTAAAGGCTCATACTGTGCAGAAACTGAACACGACCAGCAACTCCATAGATTTCTTCTTCCTTCTCATGCTGGCACATGCATGTGCGTGTTTGCACATACACCTTCCCTTCAGTAAAGAGTGGCTTGCTTTCTATAGGGGTCATGTGCCTGTAGAAGAATAGTTTTGAGCATGGTGGAAATATTTTTCACCTGCTTCTCTCCAACTGCTTTTTGGGTGAACAAGCTTTCTTTTTTTATTTGCAGCCATGGGTGTTGCTTCTTCTATGATAAATTAACCTGATTGTGCTATTTGTGTGCCAGACTAGATACATATCTGCCTTCTGTGGTTCCTGCCCCACCCCAAACTAATTAATAATACAAAAGGACAATGCACAGACCTCTAACAGTGATAGCTAGTGACATACAACGAGGCTCATGCTGACGCTTTTGCTGAATCATAGTATAAATAAAATGTGATGGATGGCCAGACAAAGGTGATTTAGCATCACAGGTATGAGAATGTAGTACAAATGTAACAGCCTATAAGCCTGGTCTCACCCTGTCTCTTTTGTGAGATGGGATATGTTAACTTAACTGTTTGTTAAAATAAAATAATGATTGAAACTCCCGTGGACATAAGAAAAAGCAAGGTTAAAGTTTGGTATGTAACTGCTGTTCCTCACACAAGTTGCTACAGAGCTTGCGATGATTGCGCTAAACGGAAATACTGAGGTCTGTTAATCCAGTATTTCTACTGAAAAAGGGATGATTAACCTCAACTGCCAGTCAGCCTTTCTATTTTGGTGCCATATATAGCTTTTGTACACTGTTGACTTTGCCAAAAATGGGGGAAAATCAGTGTGCTCTACAACAGGATGGAGCCTTTCATGATGCAGGTGTATAGGGGACAGGGGTGCTTCTGAGTACATTCACTCGGTTTTATTGCTTTCTGTAGGTACTGAAGAAGAGACTGCAGTTGGTTTAATCTCAGTTTTATCTATCAGCATGACAATGATATGCCATAGTTAATCCAGATGAAGATGATCATCTCTGACTAGGAAACCTTTTTAAAGTGCAGTTGTGTTTGAGAAGGTGTTAACTGTAGTCATTTATCCTTTGATATATAGGACAGTAAAAATTCTTGAGGATGCAAAAGGCTTCCCAGGCTCTAAATAAAAAAAAGTATTCTGGTAAGGTGTAAAATGTATATGATTACAGTCAGAAGAGAAGTTATGTTTTGAAATTTATGCTAGTTCTAGAGATGCTTTTATTGCTCTAGCATGATGTCTAAGGATGGACTTTATAAATCTGAATCCCCTCACATCATATGGACAGATGAGCAGACACTGAGACAATAGGTGACAGTTTGCACCAATGCTTTAACGTGAAAAAGCTCTTGGTTTCACTCTTTGCCTAATTTTGGGAGATTGTCATCATCAGGTTTACTCCTCCTACTGTGAAACAGCATCACTATAACCATTTCTGATGGTCTGCACTAGCCACACCATTTACAATTCTACCTTTCACTTTTACTAGAGGGAGCACTTTCTCTGTAGAAAAATAAGGCAATGAGAATGCAGTTTTTCAATTCTACTTCTGTATTTCAGAAAAAGAAAAAAAGAACAAAAGGACAGCAGCTAGTCTGTGATGGTCTGTACATGTGTCTGGCCTCAAAGCCAATTAGAATTTCTGGTCAGATGAAGCAATGAGGAGCTTCAAATAAAATCAGCACTGCCTCCCACAGTGAGCTTGGAGAAGCAGTAAGTTCACCAAATTATTTACTATTCAATGTCTTTTTCTTTTTAGAAGCACCTGCATGAAGTTCTATGAACCAGCACAATCTTACTTGTTAACAATTTGCTAAAAGGCAAAAACTGAATTTAAAATAACACTTACTGGTGCAATCACCAGAGTTAGTCAGACATAACTGACTGCCACAGGTTCAAAAGGGAAATCATAATTAGAAAAAAATCCATCTAGCTGTTCGTATGGCCCCCGTTACTTATCAGCAGGGTGGAAAAGTGCACTTGCATGAATCTGCTGACAAGTAAGGCACCGAACACTTGGATCCTGTGCTTGTGTTTGTGGCTCCATCCAACCACAGTCTGATACTGATTATTTTTTTTTTTTACCACAAGAGTATATAAAGATCTTGACCAGAAATTCAGACAAACAAAAGCTACCAGCTGAATTAGCTTGAAGTGTTTCATGATTGTGCTCGTGTACTCGGCACTCGTGAGACAGCACCCTGAGTACTGTGTCCAGTTTTGGGCACCACAGGATAAGAAGGACATGGAGATGCGGGAGCGGGTCCAGAGAAGGGCAACGAGGCTGGTGAAGAGTTATGGAAAACATGCCTTATGGGGACTGGCTGAGGAAACTGGGGTTGTTCAGTATGGGGCAGAGGAGACTGAGAGGAGACCTTATTGCTCTTTACAACTACCTGAAAGGAGGTTGTAGTGAGACTGGTGTTGGTCTCTTCTCCCAAATTACTAATGGTAGGACAAGAGGAGATGGCCTCAAGTTGTGCTAGGGGTGATTTCAATTACATATTAGGAAGAATTTCTTCACTGAGAGAGTGGTTAGACACTGGAATGGGCTGCCCAGGGAGGTGGTGGAATCACCATCCCTGGAGGTGTTCAAAAAGCAAGTAGATGTAGCACTTGAGGCTATGGTCTAGTGGTTAGGGAGATGTTGGGATGGTGGTTGAACTTGATGATCCTGGAGGTCCTTTCCAACCATAGTGCTTCTATGATTCCATGTAAAACTATTTACTATTATTTTGCTCTGCCAAAGAGAGAAAAAAGAAAGAGAAGGTCTAGTTTTGGATTCAAGACAAAGTCAGCCTGTGGTGCCAGTTGTTTTTTTAAGAGAGACAAGTTTTTATCATGGCATTGCAGGCTGCAAAAGCCTTATGTATGAGTTGCTCTGAGAGAGTGCCCAGGCACTACGACATTTTATTTCTGGAGATTTCATTAATACATGCTCGACACTGAGCTGAACCAGATATAAACCTATTTACCTTGAATGTTATCCCTCATATTACTGAGCTGCTGCACAAGCTGAGTAGCACGGTTGTTGGTCTCCATGGTTTCCTTCTGTACCAGTAGGCCTCTGCTGGATGCTTCATTTCCCTGTGAATAAACCATGTGAGCTAGACATTAGATTTCCTTTCAGATCCATACGCATGTGTGAAGATGAGCAGTGTAAATGCATATTTTGCTTTCTCCTGATGAACATATGAAAGTCCATTTATCATATAAAGTGGTATTTACAGAGGTGTTTGAAGTGGAGGGCTGTCTTGTCGGTATTTTTGGAATTGCAGAGTGAGAGATTAAAATCTGTTCCATATTTATCCATCGTTTGCTGCAATCAAATTGCCATAAATTATGCACAGTTGTAAAACTCCCATCTGCTGAGTCTCCTGGGCATTCAGTGGGGCTGGCTCATTTTGCTGGCATTTCTGAGTAAGCATATAGACTGAAGAATAAGGTGTCAAGCTCACAAACTTTTTGACATCAGTGTCTCCCTCAAGTGAGATCCCCAGCTCTGCAACTTCCTAAAATTATGAAAAAACATGAGGATGCACAATATTCTGAAGACCAGAGCCACCCTCCTATACTATATTATATTGGAGGCTATACTCTGCATTGTGTTCCCCTATATGCCTGGAATTGTGCTAAGGGACTTTTAGATTGGATAGTAGGAAAAAAAAATAAGCACTGAAAGGCCTGGAAAGCACTGGAACAGGCTGCCCAGGGAGGTGATTGAATCACCATCCCTGGAGATGTTTAAAAGATATAGATGTGGTGCTTATTGACATGGTTTAGTGTTGGACTTGGCAGTGCTGGGTTAACAGTTGGAGTCGATGATCTTAAAAGTTTTTTCCAACCTAAACTATACCAGGGTTCCGTGATTGTGAAATTAAAAATTACCATGTCTGAGGTCTCGTCTTTCCAAGAAGGTCACTGACTTTGAGAGCCCTTAGATCTAGTTTTCACTGGTATTTTCCCGGAAAAAAAAAAAAAAAAAAAAAAAGGCTGTTGTGCCACTAATGTTTCCTGGACCCTCTGTGTGTGTCTGTACATACAAGTCCACAGCATACACTTGCCTGTGGTAAGGTGTTAGACTCACAGCCCCCACAGGGGCTGGATCAGCAAAAATTCCCACTGTTTCTGAGCTTTGGTTTCCCTGACACCTCATAAGCCAGAAGATATGTGACTGTAGTGTAGGTGTTCTCACTTCATACTTGCTTAATCACAGAATCAGGATTTGCGGAGGCACTGGGTGGCGCTGGAAGGCAGGGCCAGTGTGGCCAGCACTGCTGGAATGGATGGTCAGCTGAATAAAACAAATAGAAGGGCTTATAGAAAAATTTACATTTTATTCCAATTTGCTTGTCTTTGAAGAACAAACACTATGGCTTTTATTCATACTCCTTTATTGCTATCAGGGTTTCCTGTGGATGCTCTGTTGCTCACCATTGCCACTTTGTGCTTGTTTTAGGCAGCTTGTTACCGTTTTGCACACACTTGCCTTTACATAATACTCTTTCCTTGCCAGATTTTCCTTTAACTGTTGAATACATGGGGAACTGCAGAGACAGGTTTGCTGATTGCCATGAGATTGATGAGAAGCACAACAGCATGAGTGAGGGGTGCTATTAGGGACCCTCAAATTCCTGGGGATGTACAGAGAAACCCTGAAATTTGCTGAGAACTCATGAAGGAAAGGTGCTCTGCTCTCCCAAGTCTCTGCCAAACATTTAGGATTGCCTATAATTGATGCATTCATCCTGGATTTGGCGTTTAGATCAGAATCTGCAGCAACCCCCCAGACACAAGGACATGTATGTGAAATGCTCTGAATGGAAGATACAGCTTATCTCTGCAAAAGCCACTCAAAGCCCTAGTACCAGTTCTTCATAAAAGTGCCTCGAGAGAGCAAAAAGTTCAATATATTCAGAGTTATTACTGTGGTCTTCTTGGCACTGTGAGAGTCTGGGGCCATTATTTCCCTGCCTTTGTAAGCAATCACAAGTATTCATGTGGAAAAAAGTGTTAGAAAGAACCAGGGAGAAAAGACCAGAGGAAACCAAATTTATTGGTTCAGGGACGGTCAAACTGAGGAATCACCTAAGAAAATAAGCAGTACTTCAGGTAGTACTGAAGATGACAAAAATCTTATTATCCAAATTCACTAAATATTCCTAGAAAATCTAATGCCTTAATCATCACGCCTACTGGCTACATCGAAGCACACTGAGGTATGTGGGCTCTGCCAGATTTTCACAGGTATATGTGTGTATATGTGTATATGTGAGCGGTATATGTGTGTGTGGTGGCCTCTCTTAAACATAGGCATACTGTGTAATTCTGCAGTGCCCTTTCTGGTGAGTAAGTGCTGCTGAAAAAAAACCAAACCAAAATTTTCTCTTTCACCTCTTTTTACAGTTGTACAGTCCTTTTTTTTTTTTTTTTTTTTTTTTTCCCCTCTTTTCTCCTTCTTGCTCCTGTATTTGAGTTATCTGAGTTTAGTCTAAGGTATAATTTTAATTTGTCTTGTGAAGGAACTGGTAAGTGAATAGAAGGTCTTACATTTTCCAGTAAGCATGAAATGTACTCTAGTCCTACTACAGCTGTGGTTTTCTCTGAGAATAATGTAAAGTGTTGCATCTCACGAATGCATCTATATCTTTATATGTTTAAAAATATCTCTAAAACAGAGGAGAAACAATTTTGAACTCTATTCCTTCTCTTACCATATATCATGTCAGTACTCTCCTAGGGTGCAATGAAAGTGTTTTGTGACCTGAAAGCAGAAAACCTTAATTTTATAGCCGGGCAATTAAATGTGGATGGAACATTTATGACTACAACTGTGTTAAAACATATCTTAAGTGCTGATCAGGCTCCCATCTCAGCGTGTTCATGAAAAACCTTTTAAACTGGCCATTTTATAATGTATTTTGAAGTGTCTAATAGGGGCTAATTTAATTTTATGAGAGCATACACGTAAAACAGATATAGTGCAAATACGCCCAAAGTCAATCTGAATTAGTTTAGTGTGGTTTACTTTGCTGAATTAGAAATCAAAATGTGAATTAGAAAGGCAGTGTGTCTATCACAGGTCAAACGTTATGTAGGGGAGTAGATGGGAACTCAGATACTGAGCGGCGGGTTTTTCTGATTGGTGACAAATCTCTGGCCACATTCAACAGTGTTTGGCCCTACATGCTTCATTTTCTGGGAAGGAGACTTGATAGGTCATTTATGCTTTTAATTAAGAGCTAAAGCAAAGTAGAAAGTTTAGAAGTAGAAACAGAAAGTTCTCCCAGCTATGATTCAGGGCACTCCTACCTATGTTTGGTGAACCTAGAAGTTCAGAATAGATGTTAGGAAACATTTCTTTACCAAGAGAGCGGACAAGCACTGGAATAGGCTTCATAGAGAAGTGATCAATGCCCCAAGCTTGTTAGTGTTTAAGAGGCATTTGGACAATACACTTTAACTTTTGGTCAGGTCAAGTGGTCATTCAGTTGGACTGGACGATCATTGTAGGTCCCTTCCCACTGGAAATACTCTATCTTACACAGCATGCAAGTAGGACAAACTGCTAACCCCCCTGGTAGGGGATTATAAACAAACCTGTTCGTCAAGTGTTGCTGCTTCTCTCAGGAGATCATTCATTTCATCTGCAGCATCATCAACCTGGATGGTCCAAAGCTCAGCATGGTTCTTTTTTTGAGACATTGCTGCCTGTGTGTGTGGGAAAAAAAGTCAGTGCATCTGCAAACAAATTCTTTGTCTAGTGAGAGCAAGGATTAAAATTTATGGAGTGGAAATTCATAGATTAAAGTTACCTAAAAAAATGAAATGTCATCAATGTTTGTACCTGGAGATGGGTGGTGGTCAAGTTCAGGTCATTCAAGCGCTTTTGAGCTGCAACACCTGTAGAAATGCTCAGTATAGTTGATTTGCTTTCATCGATAGCCAGAACTGCCAATCGGATGTCATCTGTCAAATCCCAAATACATTTATCGCAGCCTGGTAAGGAAATAAGAGAGTGTCATTTTTCTGTAGTGTTTGTGTCAGTTAAAAGCAAATATCTTAAATTCGCATTATAGTGCTTCTGCCCTCTCTCTGTCATTGGTGGATCCTGATAGACACCCATTTTTCTTTCACTTTCATCCGCCCACTTCCCAGGTCTCACAGTAGAGTCATGATGCTTCCAGCTTCCAGCACCAGACGGGACTGCTCCGCGAGGCTGCCACAGCAGCTCCGTAATCAGGAGGGAGAGGGAGAGAGAAAGAGAGAGGGAAAGAGAGAGAGGAGGTATTTCCTGGCTGTTCCCTAGAGGTTCTGCATGTTTCTGGTCGGAAGAACAACAGATAAGGGTCAAAAAAATAACTTCACTTTGTCAGAACCCAAAACTCTATATTTAAAATTTAGTGGTATGAGAAGGAAGGATGTCCAGCAGATGGGTTCTTGGCTGCCTGTTTGACTAGGAAGGCAATTTCTAAAAACACAATTAAAACATGTTTGGGATACACTTATGCAGAACTATATCCTTGTCCCTGCTGAATGCTTACAATACCACCTTGTTTTTAGTGACATTGGTGCCACCATTAAATGTAAGAAACTTAGGTGAATGTGAAACAGATTCGTTTCAGAAACAGAAACCTTTTCTTGGTATTGTATAGTCTGTATTCTTGATGGCAACAGCTCCTAAATGTTTTCACTTCCAGGCACATGACCCCTCTTCTTGGAATTTGGTTTAGGAACCCATGTGTGCTACATGGTCTGCATTATACCACAAGCATAATTACAACGGCATTTAAAAAAAGATCAGTTGCTACCAATAATTACAACATAGTGCTTATGGAGACTCCTCAGGCTTCCTATCATTAGAATAGGGGAAATTATACTGGAAAAACAACCAACTGATGGGTGTTTGTCAAATTGTCAACAGCAAGTATTTATATTAGATGTACAAATAGAAAACCAGAAATTATACAGAAGATGGCACTGATAAAGTTGTTGTGGAAGTTTTTAGGGACAGAATATTATTTTGCAGGCACCGTGTCTTAAAACCTATAGAAGTGCCTTTGGTGATAGTTCCTTTTGGCTCCACAGTTTTTAAGTAAACATTCAGTCTGTATCACAGAGTTGGACATATGCATGTACTCAGTCAAGCAAGGCAAAACATTTTTAAATACTCAGTCCACAGGGCATTGTGCATATTCATATGTTTACAGGCCTTGTGGGCCCAAGGTCAAAGCACTGAGCCCACTGGAGAACTAAGCTCTTAAGTTTGTAACCATCTAAATACAAGAACAATATTAATTTTTGGTGTTGTGATAATCTTCTTACTGATGGTTGGGCAGTCTGTGTCAGTAGAAACTTCAGGACTGTCTGCGAGGCATTCTCCAGTCTGGCTGTCACACATTCTCCCTCCACAGTTACATTCTGGGGGAAAAAGAAAGGATTTTTGAAAGAAGAATCTTCAAAATGTGCAATTCACCTTTCCTCTCCCAAGACTAGTGAGGTGATCATATGTAGGATTGTAAATGGATAGTCAAACCAAAATCCAGGACTCTACACCTGGAGTACTGTGTCCAGCTCTGGAGTCCCTAGTACAAGAGGAACATGGACCTGCTAGAGCAGGTTCAGAGGAGAGCCACAAAAGAATGTTTGGGTTGTTCTGCCTGGAAAAGAGAAGATTCTGGGGAGAGCTCATTGTGGCCTTCCAGTATCTGAAGGGGGCCTTTAAGAAAGCTTGGGAGGGACTTTTTCTGGGATCTTGTAGTGATAGGATGATGGCAAATGGCTTTAAACTGGAAGAGGATAGATTTAGATTAGAAATTAGGAAGTTTTTCACTGTGAGGATGGTGAGTCACTGGAACAGGTTGCCCATGGAGGCTGTAGATGCCTCAACACTGGATGTGTTCAGGCTGGATGGAGCTTAGAGCAACCTGGTCTTGTGGGAGGTGTTCCTGCCCATGGCAGGAGGGTTGCAACTAGAACATTTTTGGACTAATTTTTCCTTCAGTACATAGGAAAAGGTGGGTTTTGCACTGTGGTCTAATTGGACCAGATGAAATACAAGGTGGAAAACAGAGCCAGAAAGTCTCTGCTAAAACAACTTCATCAAAGCTTCCCAGCTGGTCACAAGCAAAGGCAGCAAGGCCAGAGTTGCCCAGCTGGGCCATTGTGCATCACTGTCTAGAGAGGGTGACGTTTAGGAGGTGGGCTAAGAAAAGTGGTGCAATTGAAGTTATTTATTAGTTACAAATCTCTCCATTGGCCTATGGAATTTATCAATGTTGTGTCAGGCTGCCACCAAGTAAGCTTTCCAGCTATCAGGGATTGACAGTGGACTCCAATTTCATCATCATCTTGAGCATATAAAAAAAGAAATCTCTCCTACCACTTACAATGAAGAATAAATTTTACTTTTTTATTTTTTTTTAAAACTTGCATAAGCTACACATTTATTGCCAGCACAACTGGCTTTTTAAAAAGTATATTTTTTAATCTAAAGTGTCTCTTTCAATGTTTAATTTGCCTTTCAAAATATATTATTTTAAAGTTTAAAATATTCTTGGAACACTTTCACAGAATAACAAAAACTCAAGCAGAATGTAAGAAAAGCAGTGACTTATCTGGAATTCGTTTTGCTCAATGATTCATGATTTCAACAGAATCTCATATAACAAAACTGTTTACTGCCATTTTATTGCAGCCCATTCATTGTTCTCTGTGAATTACCCTTGTATTTACATTCCACAGTGCACATTCAAGGAACTGTCAGGCAAAATGTGTAATACTCCTTCAAAGTCAACATGATGTACCAACACTGGAATAATTCTGTGTAACTGAATCAGTGTTAGTAAAGGTACTCAATTATTTTGTACTACTGTTAAGTGTAGAATTTGGTTATAAATTTTGTGGGCAGAGTTAGGAGTGATCCATCTCACCCATTTGTGTTATGATACTTTAGGGAAGGATCCTGGCAAAGAGGCTGTGAGGAAGCCCCATCTGAGCACATGTATTTTGCCTTTAGCTGTGGCTATTCCTCAGTGATTTGAAAGAGGACGTAATCTTGTCTCCTGGAGCCATAGCAAGGACAAAGGGCATGAGGACAAAGTTCCTATTTGGATTGAATTCCATGTAAATTAGGAGAATAATTACATTAGAGGACATAAACCTCTGTGACCCCTCTGTGTAAAATCCTCTGGGTAGCATTTTACCAGACCCAGGAAGTATAGGCATTTCTGGTGTGGAAGTATGGTAACGAGCAAGATTACACAGATACAAGGGAAATGCAGAACACATTACCAGTATGAAAAATAGCAGAAAATGAGCAAGGATTGGGTCAAGATAGGAAAAGTGATCCTGTTCCCATATAAAATGCTTTCAAGCCTTTAAGTCTGAGTGGTCATGTTGGGCAGCATGTGGTGTGACCAGACGCAAAGGTGAAGTCTCTGTCCAAAGAAAGCTTAGAGACCCTTATTTAAAACAAGGTGCAGGACACAGCAGTGCCTACATTCATCCTGCGCAGGTGTTTGAGGTGTTGGAGTCTGGAGTCTGAGACTTCCTTGTGGGCAATGGAAAGAGAATTCAAATAAACAAGCATCTAAATCATCCCACCAGGTAGGTGGCCAGAAGCACCTTGTGCCTCCAGGGCCACAGGTGTCTGATGACTGATTCAGGCCTCTCTGATCTCCGGGAGGCCATCTGTAGACCATGCTGTGCTGCGTTTTTCTCGTCTCTGCTGTGCTAACCTATAGACAATACCTGTGCAGTTTTTAGCAAATCTGGCATCCCCATAGTAACCGGGAGCGCATCGTTCGCACTTGAAGCCGGTGGTGTTGCGCAGGCAGTTGCGGCACTGGCCAGTCACTTCATCACAGTCTTCAAAAATGAGGTTCGGGTCTGAGTTGCCACTGCAGTCGCATTTTTTACAAGTGCTTCCAATTAGCAAAGGGTTCCCATAGTAACCGGGGGCACACCTGAAAGGAAAAGCAAGCCTGGCGATGATGAGGGCTGACATTGCCATCTGCAGCACTGTTTACTGTTTGTTCTCTACTTCTATTTGTGTCACCAGGAATTGATGATGGTCTGCAACTACTAATGGACAAAAGGCAAATTGGGAGCTCTATTGCTACAGAGGATGCTTTATGCTCTAATCTCAATCTGTACAGTTATATTTTCTTCCCTTCTTAAACAGTCTGGGTATCTCAATCACAGCAGTCTGTGGTTGCGGTTTTTAGTTCTTTTTTTTTAATGTGCCTTTAGCAGTAAAAGGATTTCTTTCCCATTGTTATAAAATCTGTGACAGAATGACCTTGGCAGAGAGGCAGCTCTAGTGTTTATTTTGGTCTCTTTCAGCTTTGGATCTCACCAACTATATTGTGTTATATAGGAAACTGAGGTAAGAGACTGCATTTCATGACGCGGAAACTCAGAGGAAGTTCAGACGTTATTTTCATTATAATGCATATAACAAAGTACTGGCCAGAAAAGGTTTATATAAATACTTCTCTGGTGTGGCATTGGGATGGTTTCTGGTTTTTGCAAAACAGAATAGGCAGTGAACCAGCCTCAGTTTTTCAGACTTGTTCTATGTTATCCTGCTGGCAGAGGGCAAGAGGCTGAGAGCACCAGCCCAGGAGGGAAGGATTCCTCTGTTGGTTTGCAGGGGGAGGAAGGAAAGTGGGTAACAAGCACCACAGGGAAGGCATGATATGAGTCCAATTTGCTTTTCATATCTTGTCATGTTTGGGAAGCATTTCAGCTGAAAACTCACTACATTTTAAGATAGAAGAGCTGTTGACACTGTAGCGACGTTTGAAAGTCTTTGACACTGAACAGATTTAGTGTCGTCATTTAGAAAGAAAGGAGAGAGTCTCAGTTAAAGGAGTTTCTGATGGTAGCTGAACATGTGCTTAATCCTATGGGCTAGAGGGACTTTTGCAAACCAACCAGTGGGGTGAACAGAGTCAGCACTGGAGTGGGCATGAAGCAACTTGCAGGAGCAAATCCTCAAGCAAGGGCTTAACTGGAGAAGCTGGTGGCTGGAGCAGCGTGGAGCAGCAGCTGATGGACTGGAGAGGTCAGCTGGCAGGACTGGGGCAACCTGAGCCGTTCTTGGTGTCATTGTGGGGTGGCAGGAGGGCCCATGACCAAGCGGCCTGAGACGCAGAGATCAGGGACTCGTATCCCCAAACTGGGAGTGAAGAATTACTGCAGAGAGGGGGAAAAGCAGCTGGTGTAGCAAATGCTGACTGAAGAAACTGCTGACCAAAGAGGACTGAATAGTTGTTGCAGTGATTTAGGTAAGGAGTAGTTGTTGTATTTCATCCTGTTTTATCACCCTGTTGTCCTTGTCTTTTCTCCCATCCATAAAGTGCTGGTTTAAGATGCTGTTTGTTCTGCTGCTTGTGGGTGGAGAGGGTGAGCTCTCAGGCAGTTTAGTTTAATTTTCCTCAGCTCTGTCTGGGTACCCAAGCTGAGCTGTCTCCTAAAATCTGAACACAGTCAAATCCAGGTTCTGCAATGTCTGAACGATTAAAATGTGGGAGATCTGATAAGAGCTTCTAGTTTTGATCTGTTCCTACATTTGATGATTTTTTGTTTTAATAAAGAAAGTAATTTCCTCAGCACTGCTTTGTTCATGTTCCAACTCTGAACCCGCACAGTAAAAACACATAAAATTGTAAGTATCTTAATATAAACCACTTGGCTGCCTCAAATACTGCTTTTATCAAGGACAAAGACTGTCTCTTTGCAGCACTGCCAGAATCTTTGGTGCAGATCTTATTGTTTGGGTGACCCAGATGTAAAGAATAAAAGTGTGACCCGGAGTTCTGTGCCCTGCTTGAAGAACTGTGAATGTGACACTGAACACAGAGTGTGATTTAACTGACTTTGGTGGAGTCACTCGCTGCTCCCATGGGAGTTAGAGCAGGCAGTGATGGATAATGCTACTATTCAGTCATGCCAAAAGTCTTGCCACAATTTTCTAATATTTCAGCCAATGTTAGCTTGTGGCATTTTCCCAAATTCCAGCATTTCAGTATGTTTATGAAGTTTGAAGAAGGAAAAAAAAAAAAAAAATCACTGTGGGTATTTTTTTTTTTTTAAACCGTAGAGCAATCTTATTTATTCTAAATTCTCAAAATCTTGTGGAGTTGCTTTTTATTTTTCTGGAGTTAGGCATTTTCCAAATGATCATCTGTCTAAGGTGGCCACCAATTCACAGAAGCTACTGAGCAATGCTGGGTGCAGACTAGTGTTTTGCTTACTGCTATCCAGCTCTGGCTTGCAGCCAGCATCTATCAAAGACTACCTGCTATTCCCATCAGGCTGACAACCTCTGTCCTCTCATCAGGACAAGATATTTTTTTTCTTCTTTTCTGAAATATGCCATTCAGTTCACTTGCCAGAAATGTAGTGGACAATTCCTCACATCCTCACAGATATATCTTGTAAGTGCTGGTTTTTATGGCCATCTGACTCACTTTTACTAGCCATATCTCCTCATCTGGAGTAGCTGTCTGAAACAAATAAATAGAAACTTTAGAGCCGAAAATAAATGTGTCACCTTCACTTTCCCCTTCCCTTTGCCACTCATAGAGCTAAACTGCACTTGGCCTCTTTGGAATAGCTGGTAGCACGTGAGAAGAGCAGAGGCCACTGGATGTGAAACATCTCTGCTCCATCTTGGCACTTGATGGCCTGAAAAAATAGAGGCTTGCAGCAAATACCTTTTCCTCTGTTGTATCAATAAATGGCTCTTTGTTGCTAACAGAGAGTATTTCCTCTCCCGTAATAAAGCTGCTAAGTTATCTGTTTCATTTTACAGCCATGTTTGCTTCCTGCAATTATCAGTGAGTAAGAAATTAACTTCCTTTTCCCTGTCAATGACAAAAGAACCTTTTAGTCTATTCACTTTGGACACTAAAGGATAATTTGTTCAGTTATTTTAACATTTAGGCATTAACAAAACCTGGATTCCATCCGCTACCAACTTAATGCCTTATTGCTGAAGTCCAGGAGCAAAATGATTCATTCCTAAATTTCAAACTGGGAAGCTGGTTTTCTCAGTTTCCAGCAAAGGCCTCTGTGATTTCACAACACCATTTACTGGCAAACATAAACTGGTTAGGTTTGTGCCAAGCCCCTGGAGCAGCACAAGCGAGCCTCCTGCATGGATGCCAGAGGGAAGGGAGCAGATGGCCTCCTGGTGTGCTGCTCTGGTGTCCCTCGTGCTGCCCCTAGAGAAGTGTCCTGCAGCTCACTGCCCCGTGGAAAGCTGGGAGGAGACCAGTGAGCAGGACGTAGCCTTCCTCTCTCTGGGGACACAAGCTGCTGTTTGGGATGCAGGGAGGGACAAGAGCAATGCTCCTTATTGCTCAGGATTTCCCAGTCCTCCTGCCAGCAAGATGATGGCACCCAGTTGGAGCAGGGAGTGGTGGCAGTGCCCAGTAGCAGTGTATGTAAGACAAGGATGTGCTCTTTAGCAAGAGCAAAAAGCAATGCTTTTTTCTTTTTTTTTTTTTTTTTTTTTTTAAATAAAAAAGAGCAATGCATTTCTCATTAGTCTTTAAACACATTTTTTGTCATTTCTGACACAAGTGGGATTAAGACCAGGAGCCTACCAGAAGGAAAGTCTCACTTGTCCCTGCTTGCCACTTATGCCAGCAGTTAGTCAAGGACTTAACATGGTGATCAGGATGGCTGATTTCTTTCTGAGGCTTTTTCTAACCCATCTATACAGCTTTGCCTTCCTTGAGACAGATGCACTGTGTCAGGCTGGGTAGTAGCTACTAGAAAACAAAGCTGATGCTGTTTTCTGCTGTTACTCTGCATCTGCTACTCATTTCATAGGATTTGAATTGCTTGTAGTCTAGGTTGACATTTTAATAACCATTAAGAAACCTCACTGACCTTTTAATTTTCTGCATTATCCTTTGTGTATAAATCTGACATTTTGAAGAACAAAGGAATACAGCCATAGTCCTGGAAATAGGGGTGAGGGTTTTTATTTTTGTGCCAGCTGTCTAAAGGGCTTTCACTATTGCTGTCACCATGTTAGTGATGCAGAAGTAATAGGCTGATGTTTTTGGATCATCTGTAAGGGTAAAAGCCTTCCCTCTTGTTTTCATCTTACCTTTTCCATATTGATTTTTCTTTGCCCCTTAAGGAACCCCTTTCCCTCTTCTCTGATAATTATGTTAAGTATCATTTAAATTCAAGACTTGCCCATTAATGACACTGAATTGAAGTCTTAAATACTTCAGATGCTTGAAGGAAAACCAAAATTAAGTCTTCAGGAAGCCAGTGTCTGAGCCATCCTGTACCCCTCAGTCTTTGTATTAAGCTTTTTTAATTTATTGGCTGCTCAAGGAGAATTTCTGAATTATAATCATGTCAGACATTCATTGAAACATCATCTGTGTGTGTTCGTAGTGAGTAAGATGGCCCTTGACAAGACAGGAGAGTAAGTTATATTTCTGCTCTATAGCTCCATGTATTTGTGTACTCTGTTGTTAGGAGGATATTTACAGCAAATTGTTTGTGGGCATAAGAGATGTTAAAAAGCAGCACTGGCCTATGGTTGTTTGCTTGACTTTATTGAATTATGTCTGTGAAGTACATTTAAAATTTAACTAAAATAGCTGTACCTGCTTATTAAGAATTTTACTTAATGGGTTTTCTCCTTTGCTTTTAAAAATTGTATTTAGTAGAAGCCTGCTATATGTTTTAGAGTGGTGAATTGCAAGAGGCAGGTATGTTGTGTTTACTTTTCACTTCAGCTGCTGTTTCTGATTTTGTATTTTCATTTGTAAACTGTATTTCTCTTAGGAAAATCACCACATGAAGCTATACAAAGTGCAAGATGTAGATATCTGTCTTACCCAGACATGTCTCCACACCAAGTTTGTAGGGTTTTTAGTAGGAACTGAATGAGATCCTTTTATAGACATGATTCAACCCGATGAAAACATACGCACAAGATTTCTCACCCATATGGGAAGATTCCTTCAAAGAATTCTGGACTTCAGTGCTCTTGACCAGTAAGTCCTCCTGTTAGATTCTTACCTTTCACAGTTGGGTCCTGCATAGTTTTCCTTACAGACACAGCGCACGCTTCCACTTTTTCTGTAGCAGGAGACTGCAAAGCTGGAATTTCATTAGAATGAATAGTTAGAATAGCAGGCAGTGGCAAATACCTGAGTGTGTTTCTTTATTACCTTATGATGTTTTCTGTCAGTGTGAGCTCTGGCTCTTGGTCACTCATTGCTGAATAGGTATTCTTAAGCTCTGTACATTATTCACATTATACCCTTTGTTTAGTCTTATTAGTGTAGAAAGCACTAATTAGTATATAGAACTACAGAGCTATATAAATACAAAAATATATAAGTTCTTGTCTAGCAGTGTAGATCAGACATAACTGCAGGTTTTGATAAACACATTTTATATAAGGGATGTAGGATAAATCTGTATGACATGAGAACCTAATTGCTTCCTCTCTCTTATTCTAAGAGTTAAAATATTGCTTATTAAAGACACCATCGTGAGCACTTCAAGAACTGAGATTCTGGAATGGGTGCAGCAGTTTCCTAAACAAATCCTACAGTTTTCCTTAAATCCAATGTGGATGTACTGAGTACAAAAAACTGACCTCAGTGATGCCATCCTCACTTACAGTAACTGAGGCTGTACTACCATCTCTCTGAGTAAGCTGGAAAGTGTCTGGGACCTCTTTTGAGACCAGCATCCCAGTAGTGATACTGACTGCAGTAATGGCTTGGGCTGTAATTTTCATTGCCATGATTCTATATCATGGATTCCTTTGCTTTCTTTTGTTTTCAGGATTTAACAACTGTTTAACTAAATATGAGATGCAGGAACAGCAGCAGCCAGATGTCCGAAGTGCAAACTGTATACAATTCAAACACAGTGATGGACGTGGCTTAAATGCATTTGCAGGAAAAAGACATACAGTCCTAAAGATGTTTCCAGTTAGTTTGCAATATGTGTGAGTAAATTTCTGCCAGCACTGGAGTGCAATCAGAGTAGTGAGTGGCAGCAGTTGTCAGCTACAGGCCCATGGTTGCTAAACACAGGTCCTGAGTCATGCAGTGCTGGGCAACTGTGACCAGATTGCATCCCTTTCACACAGAAGAACAAGAGACTTGGAGCGATGGAAAAGAACATGATCCATGTGCTGGTTGTTCCAGAAACAAGCAGCACTGAAAGGTGACAAGAATTCCTGCATAATTTCAGTTCCCACCAGCATTTCACAACTGGCTGGACAATCAGGGTCAAATAAATTTGTGTCTGGATTTCTGGTGTTTCAAAATATTTCATATAATCAGGCAGAACATAAAACAAGATTCTTCTCACAGGATGCACCAATTAACTTCTGTAGAGCTTTTATGAGAACGTATTCAGAAAATAATAAATTTGGCAGCCTTCCTATTCTTTTACAGAGGCTAATTCCTTCATGTAGTTGAAAAAACCACACTGTGGATTTAAGTTATGAAATAAGACTGAAGCCTTCCTGAAGTTTTATATTTTTTGGTGATTGTCTATGGAAAAAAAATTTGTATAATTCCCTCAAGCGTGGAAAGAAGTAACATGTGCTGCACTGTGAAGCAATCTCCATCCTTCTTTCTTTATTCCAAAGGGATGATGTTACACTTCATGTGTAATATTCAGAAGTTATTCCAAAAGTTCCCAGAGTGGCAGATATGAAGATTGTCTGGTCAGAAAATCTAGAGACACACAGATGAATCCAAGAAAAAAATATCTATCTCATGAGCTTGTTAGTTTACAGATTTTGTCACTTTGTCTCACTGTTGTGAATTTACTGTCTATTTCCAAAGTAAAACAGAATACAAAACAACATCCTTTGCATGTTCTTTATTCAAAGACTTGTAATGTTTCTGTGCTTTCTGGTAGAGTTACTATTTTGCCTTAATATAAATGGAGTAGGATTAAAGGAGGAAAAATGGAAAAAAAACCCCAAACCAAACAAACGGTTGTTCTTTGAATTCATTTATTCAAAGCTGAATGTTGCCCAATCATTATTATTTGCCTGTTCCAGTCCCAGCTGAGGGCTATTGCAGTGGTCTGGTCTCTCTCATGCAAGAAGCTGAACAGGCAATTTCTGCATATTACTTAAATTTGGCTATGAGGCAAATTTGGATCTCATATTCCTTTAACTATTGCCTTCAGGACTTTTCTGTGGGAAAACCCTGAAAATGTGTATTTTTACTGAGGTAGTTTTAAAGGGGAGACATAACAGAACATGGAATATCCTGAGATGGAAAGGACTCATGAACATCATCAAGGCCAACTCCTATATCACCACTAGTGTTGAAGCATCTGCATTCAGGCTCCTTGCAGCTTTTGTTCTCATTTCCCAGTCCCACTCTGCTGTCCTTTTGGGTTCAGGGTTTCCTTATCTCTAGTGGTCTGGAATAGGAAGGGTGCTGTGTCCATAGTAGAAGGGCTAAGGAGTGTGTTGATGCAGGGAATGCTCCTTGACCTCTGTGCCCATCTCCCGTAGCACTGGCAGAGAGAACCTGTAGCTCAGGTCCCTGCTGTTCCCACTGCACTGAGCCCTGCTGGACTGGTGGACCAGCCAGCTCCCTGCTGCTGGGGAGCATTGCTGCAGAGTCCAGTGTGCTGCAGGACTGGGCAGGGTGATGGGTGAATGCAGAACTAGCCATGCTTTGTCAAATTGCACTGCAGGGAGGACAGAGTAGACCTTGCTTGACTGACCGTGCTTGGTAGAGAGTGGGTCTTGTTATACAGCAGTGCCTCAGGCATGTGCTGCCCAGGTTGTGGTTGAGAGAACAGCTCCTTACACCAAACTGGCTGGTCTGTGACCAACAGGTTTAAAAAAAAAATAAAATCACTTTCTTTTGCTAAGGAAAAACCACTGCTTCTGAGTGTTGTATTTCTACTATTTCTGGCATTACAGCTACTGCAGAAACTGGAGGAAACAGTCTGCTTTGTCTGTGAACTCATTCTGTCTAAGCCTTTCTACATGTGAGCAAAGCCAGGTTCTCCCCTTGTCCCTGGAGGATCTTGTCTCTAATCCAGTCAAAGCTGTAGTTTTTCAACAAGAGCTGTTCTTCACCCCATGACCCTCCTTACATGTCTGCAGCTCACTGCAAAAGCCAAGAGGTGATGTGCTGGAGCTTGGTTTTGCTCCATTTCCATTTTGAACCTTCGCCACTGAGCAGCTGAGCAAAATGCAGCTCATCCCACCTTAAGGCTGTGTAAGTAATCCTGTAGCAACAGCAAACAAAAACAGTGAGGAAATTCCCCTTTGCTGAGAAGCTCTGCTGAAAGAAGAATGTGAAACCACAAAAGGAGAAGACATAGCTTGATGAAAAATAGCTTCAACCCGTTGGCAAGTATTCATGAGCACCTCTTCTGTCTGTAGTGGGATTTGCATAGATGTCTCTCTCCCAGAGCACGGACCTCAAGCAAGCAAGAGGAAATGTATAATTTATTTCAGCTGCCTTGCTGATGTGCCACTAAGAGTTTCTAATAGCTGGTTTGTAGTTATTTGTTTCTTCTGAAGGCACAAAGTAGGTAACAGCTGGAGCTCTTTGACTTAGTCTTGGTTTTCTGTCAGGGTTCAGAGTTTCTTACACAAAGGCACAGTACCAGTCACAGGGTCCTCCAGCCCTTTCCTTTTAACTGTTACTGTACTAACCAGATCCAGCTGCTGTTGACTCAGAAGACTGAGAGATTCTGATTTTTTGTGATTGGTTTTACCTTCCAGAGGTCACAGATTGATTTGTCTGTCTCAGCTATGTACATCACTGACGCTATCTTCCTCAGGAGCTGGTCTTTAAGGGATTCTTAAAAGTAACCAGACAGCTGAATAATCTCTCGACATGAAAGGGAGCAAGCTTGAATTTGGTCAAATAATTTCCCCTCCTTCTCAGCAAGAACTGACATGAATATTTACAGATATTTTACACCTTTTAAATGAAATGCTGTTCCCTCTTCTTCTAAATGTGAGCAGCTAGCAGTGCTCTTAATTTTCCCTGGTTTGCAAAGGCAGCAGCCTTTGTCTCCTACACTTATAAAGGGGTGCTGACCCCACCTTTGAAAGGGCCAAAGCCAGCACAAATCAAAGAGAAGCAAAGACTTTACATACTTGGCAAGTGCCGGCAGGGGGCAGGGGCAGGGCTGGCAGAACGTGGGCACTCCTCTGACAACGTCACCAATGAAGCCGTCTGGACATTGCTCACAGTGTTGTCCTGTTGTGTTTCTCTGGCAGTCCTTCAGTGGAAAGAAAGAGTGGTGAAAGTTAAACGGAGGTGCTGCCTGAATCAGAAAGAAATCATTGAGCTGAAGACCCAGCCAAGCAGAACGTGGGCTGACGCCAGACCCCAACCCTTCAAGGCATTGACAGATGGAGCCAAACCAGCTAGCACTGCTGCAAAGAAAAACGCTATAAACGATTACACTGGCCAGCCAGCAAGTGTTGGCAAGGTGTGGTATGGGATAAAGCAGACGTATGTGCCTGCCAGGTGCTGGAGCAGAGGCGGCACTGCCTGTCGTCAGAGATGTCAGAGGTATTCAGGTGTAGCTGGCAGCCCTATTTTGAATTGCATGTGCCAGCAGGAAAAATACCCTTTTACTGACACCAAAACAAAATAAAAAATATCTGCTGGTAAATACTCCACTGGTAAATACTAATATTTCAGCCTAGGTGCAGGTTTCAGTGAGGCTGCTTCTTGGACTTGATGACGGGAAAAGAGCACTGGGGGGAATTTGCCTGCAAATGGTAGCTAATACCCCAGTGGCTCTGATGTTTTTATCCTGAAATGAAAAGTGTTATAGAATGGAGGGTTGTGTTATCATTACACCTTGTTCTCAGCCTTAAAGGATGTCTACTTCCCAGAGGAAAGAAGCAGGAGTCTTCTATAAGCAGCCTTTCTATAAAATTAAGAGCAACTGTATAGAATGTCACTCATAAGCCAGTTTCATCTTCATAGTTTAATGGTTTAATGCTTGTGAGGAAATAAGTTTCCTTTTGCAGAGGCAAATCAGCCACCAGCTGATACTGTTGGGGCTCCATGGAAGTAAATCAAGCTATGTTATTTCATACAGAATTTTTGTTCCAAAATATTTCATGATGCTAGGTCTAAATTGTGCCTCTCAGATAATCTTTTCAATAACAGCAAAATGTTAAAGTTTGCTGTAAACAGTTCTAAATAGAATTGGTAAGCCCTGCAAGTATGAGTAAAAACTGTTACATCTTTTGCTTTGCAAATGGCTGCACTTAGATGCCACATGTACTCAGTACATGACTAAGCATCACCTGATTCAGGAACTCCTACTTACTAACCTGCTGTATAATGGTGCAAATAAGCAGGTATATGAAGTAGAACCAGAGGACATGACGTATCTGGACTTCCAGAAAAGCCATCTAAGTTGTCAGGGAACTTGAAGAAGATTTCTTTTATAAACTGAAAGCTTATAAAAACTGGGAAACAAAGGTAACAGATGCAACCCTCACTTTTTAGAGTGGGGAAGCGTGACTATTTGGATCACCTACGCCTTGGTGCTGAGACAAGTTTTATTTGATATTCACCAGTGTCTTAGAAACAGAGACCAAAATTGCTAGGGATGCTCAGCTGGGAGAGAAAGGCTGACAGGAGGGTGTGTTTGGGTTATGTAATATTACAAAGTTGGTAAATAAGCTGAAAGAACAATGATAGTTCACTCAAATCCTGCAATAAAGAGCTGAGGGACACTGACTTGGACAAGTACTTCTCTACACAGAAGGTAAGATACTTCTGCAGCCTGCAGCCAGGAGGTGACAGTATTTGCAGGGGCAAAAAGGGATTTCCTACGTAAATTAATGAGCAACAGAGTAATAAATGTATATTAAAAGGACTCAGGAGGCTTGTATGCTCTAACATGCCTTAAGACAGCAGTTGTGAATGCTAGTGGCATATGAAGCAGAGAATTCAGAAACAGGCCAGGCTAGGTGTATCTCCAAATAGCATCTTCCACTGCCACTGCTGGATACCCAATATGGGCTCCAGAGACCTTTGGCTGGACCCTGCAAGGGACTTCTTGTGCTATATTCAGAGATGGTGCAAGTACTAGGAAATGCCCCCAGCATGCCAGTTCATCAGTCATTTAATCCCATCACAGAAGTCTCTGTGCTGTCAGTCCCTAGAATAACAGGAAAGCTGGGTGTGGTATTTTAGGAATATTTGCAGTGGGAGGGAGCTCCCCAGCATGGGACAAGGGACACCTTGGCCTCTCTGTGGTCAGAGCTTCTTCATCAGTGCCAGGCTGGGGATGGGTGAGCTCAGCTAACTGATTTTTCATCTGAGCCAGTCCCTACAGATTTGAAACTCACTTTCTACTCCAAACATGGTGTGTCCTTTGAAGTAAAGGCTATGAGGAGAGAGGAATGCAATTAGAGAAGATGTTTAATGAAAACGAATAGTCAAATTTCACTCGCACAGGTGTTGCTAAATGACTTTTGTATCTGACTACTGTAACTTTGATTTAGTGGCAGAATTTTGTCCCAGCAACATTGATATTTTGGCTTTGTGTGGGCTTGTTTTGTTGGTTCTCCTCCTCGCTCCCTCCCCCACCTCCCTGTGTCCAGATATTACAAGGCTGTGTTGAAAGGTGTCATTTTAGCATAGGATACTCACCCTTGTGAAAACACATCTGATGTTCTTTTAGCCAAGCATCTTCCTTATTTTAATCCCATTAAAGATCCCCACTTAGGACTCACTAGTTTAGCTCAGACACTTTTTGATTCTAGAAGACTTTGCTTGTCTTGCTGCACGTTTTATAGTTATGCAGAACCCATTACACAGCAATTATTTAATTCTACAAGGCTGTGATTTGGCCGGAGAACTCTACAGTGAGTAGAATATGATATGGAAAGGAAAGAAGTCTTTTTCTTTTTCCATTGATCTTTAAATAGATTACACACTAATAGTTATAGTGTTAAGGCTATTTTTTTAAACAGTAAAATTTGCTGTAAAGAAGGGAGTATTTAGTATACAGAAAACCAGAAGGTTATTTTAATAAAAGGTTTTAAAATGAGGGAATACAGAAAGCTTGACGAGGAAGAAGAGGAAGAAGAGAAGGAAATAAATTTGGGGAGACCAGAGAAAGTGAGAGCAAATGAGGGTAGAGTGGCAGGTAGGTGCCAGGGCAATGTGCAGATCTCACACTCCTTGCTGGGCAGAGCACACTAACTGCAAGGCAGAGGGCACTGGAAGGCTAATACCATTTTAAAAATTTGCATTTTTCTTTATTCAATGAAAAAGTGATGTTAAAGTACCACAAGACAGAGGTCAGAGTGTGGGCACTGAGTGCTCAAGGGAAAGTGTAATCCTGTCTCTGAAGTACTGGAGGAGGCCTCAGGTGGGCTGCATTTAGTTGTAGCCTTCATCACACTCTTCATTTGTGCTCTGGGCAATTAATTTTAGTTCTCTTTTCCTCAGCTCTCGAAACAACACATGGGTATTACCAGAATAAATCTGTTACTAATTTCCAAAGCTCAGATACTATTGTGATGAATGCCGGGCAGCATATGTCATTCCTTAAATCTCCAGTGTTTTTAATCTTCTAAACTGATGTGCTAAAAGGCTCTTCTACCCCAAAGACCCTGTTAGCTGAATGCTTGAGGCATTTTTGTAGTTTTTCTCTGGTTAGTGATTATGTAAAAGTGGCTTTATCATATTTAACATGTCAGGACTCCTGTGGGCATTTAGAATCATATTTTTACAGTGATTAAAAAAGCGTCCTTATATTTTGTGTCCCATAGCTTGCATCTCCAGTGAAACTGCTGACTGCAATAAGCCTGGGAGACATCTCTAAGGCAGGGAGCACATCCTTCCTGCAGCTCATGGGTGATTCTCAGCACCAGGTGGCACTGGCTTGGTAGTTTGAGAAAAATGTTTTGCTTCTAAATGGCTCATTCTTGACTGAGAGATAATTATGAGGAAAAAAATGGAATTCTATCTATGGTGTTTTCTATGAAATCAGATTTGAAATCTGATATGAAATCAGGGCTCTGCTGTAAAACTTGCAAGGGCAACCCTTCATTCCAGTTTTCACACATGCTTTAGAATGAAAGACATTTATGATTGATAATGTAAATTGGACTACATATGTGATTGCTCACAGCATTCCCTGTCTCAGAGGTTCATTCATGTGTACTCACAAAACTGTAGGAATATGTTTACTTATATTTGTGTTTGCTTTTTCAAATAAAACAACTCAGTATATAGTTCTGGTTTTGGATTCCCTTGAAAACCAAGGCAGATTGGTAAAAATCTCCAGAAAACATGCATTGATATGTATCTTAGCACATCAAACACAGAAGTTTAGCAGAAAATTGCTGTCTGTAAAGAACAGAGTGATACATGGTAAAGGTCACAAAAACAGGTATAACTATGCAGTTAGAAGTATTGCAACTAGATTTTATAGTACTCTGCTTTTTCTAAACTATTTCAAGTTACAGTAAGTTAAAATTCTATGCTCAAATCTTTCCGCATGCCCATGTTAATACCACCTTTATTTTCATGAAGCAAAAGTCAAGGCAGAGGTGTCCCTTCCTCCCAGACACTGCAGCTTCAGAGGAAGTAACCCAATATAGCAGCAGCCTGGCTTCTGAAAGCTCCTATATGAGGCTACAGCATATAATCAGTCATCTATCAGTACAATAGCAGCAGCTTGTCAGATGACAGAGTGGCTGGAGTGTATTTTCCTATGTTAGGAAGTGCACTGGCTGGTCCTGCTACTCTACTTTCAGTGAGCACAATCAATCAGGTTGAACATTTCTACCTGGCCTTTACTATTTAACTATCTGTATATAGATGAAAAGTACATGAAAAGGTGCTATAGGGGAGTTATGTGGGAATCATTGTCAGCACTGAGCTCCTGAACTCATTTGTTTGGAAAGTGAAGCTGGAATAACTGTTCTGAGACCACAGAGAGTTCATGTGATATAGTTCTGCTCAGTAAATACACTTCTGCACAAATAATAATTAAATCTTTGTTGATTCTCTTCAGGCAATGGTACTGCAACAAGTTTCCCAGCATAGGATAAACATGCTTTTCTGTAAAGTAATAGAGCTGAAAATCTGAGAAGTGGGAATCTACCCTACCTTATTTTAGGAACCAGAACTTAAGAGAGAAGAGCTCCTTCTAATGGTTTTCAAAGGCATCACCTTTATTAAATGTGCCATTTAGGCAGTTTAAGGGAAATTATTTCGTAAGATGGCTAACACTTG